AGGATCTAAAGGGAGGGCAGGGGAGTGGGGAAGAAATAGGTACAAATTCTCACTGATAAATGTCATATTGCATTTCTAAAATGCACTAATATACTTACTTAATGAATAAAAAAAGAATTAAATTTTAAATGTTATTTTTATCTCCTAAATTTTCACAGATAATATGCTATATAGCATCTATTTGGATCTACAAAACTAGTTTTTTCAGTGAGTTAAGTAACAAAAGAATTTGATGTATTATGCTTATTTTTTATATAGATTTGCAAATAATTATATCAGGCAAAGAGCGATAAAAATTACTGAAGCTGTTAGAATTTGACAAACTTTTAGGTTCTTTTATATATAAATTTTTCAAGCAATCACATAACCTAATAAGTACAATAATTTATTTATGAATATATTAAGAAAAAGTATCTGAGATATTTATTACTGATTAAAGAACAAGCTCCACTTGAGACATATTTATATTTTTTTTCTTTTAGTTTTTGTCACACAATATTAAATTAATGATGAGTACGTATATTTTACAGTTACTACTAGGTATTGTGTTGAAAGGGCTTTTGTTAACTTTTTGTTTTAAAGCAATTTCAAACTTACATAAAAGTTGATAGTATCAAGAACTCCTATATGCCTAAAACCAAAGCTAATTAAGAGAGACAAAGAATGTCACTATATCCCTGTAAAGGGAACAATCCAAGAAGAGATGACAATCACAAATATATATGCACCAAATACTAATGCCTCCAACCATACAAAACAAATATTAAGGAAAATAAAAAACTAAATAAGCACTAGTACAATTGTAGTGGGGGACCACAGTTCCCCACTGTCACTAATAAGTGGATCATCTGGACAAAAATATCAACAATAAAATATTAGAAATGAACCAAGCTTTTGAACAAATGGACTTAAAAAACATCTACAGAGTGTTCCACCCCACAAAATAAGAATATCCATTCTTTGTAGTTGGACATGGGTTATTCTCCAAAATAGACCACATGCTATCTCATAAAATTTAAGTAAATTCAAAGGAACTGAAGTCATCCCAGGTATATTATCATTCCATAGTGCAATTAAACTAGAGATCAATAGCAAAAAAAACCACAAGAACTTCAGAAACACATGGAAATTGAACAACACTCTCCTGAAAAATCAGTGGGTGAAAGAGGAAATTAAAGCAGAAATTAGACAGTTGTTACAAATAAATGATTAACAATACAAAATACAGGAGTCTATGGAACACAATGAAAACAGTTATACGTGGGAAATGTATAGCAGTGTATACCCACACTAGGAAAAGAGTGAGCTTAAATAAACAACCTAATGATGAATCTTAAGCTCCTAGAGAAAGAAGAGCAAGACAAACTCAAAGCTCTTACAAGGGAGAAAATTATAAAGGTCAGAGCAGAAATCAATGCAATGGAGACTAAGAGAACAACAGAAAATTTTGATAAATTGAAGAGTTGGTTTTTCAAAAGAATGAATAAAATTGATAAACCCTTACACAACCTTATCAAAAAATGAAAGAAAAGGCTCACATTAATGCAATTAGGGATGAAAAAGGTGAAGTCACAACAGATCCAGGAGAAATCAGAGGGTCATCAGTACCTACTTCGAGAACCTACCTAATAAAATGGAAAATACATAAGAAATGGACAGATTTCTAGATACATATGAATTACCAAAGTTGAATGAAGAAGATATAAAAAATTCTAAACACCCCAATTACAATCAGTGAAATTTAAAACATAATTAATAATTTATGAACAAAGAAAAGTCCAGGTCCTGATGGCTTCAATGCTGAATTCTGCAAGACATTTAGAGAGGAACTACTGTCATTGCTCTTTAAACTCTTCAATGAAATTGAAAGGGAAGCAGTACTTCCAAATTCATTGCAGAAAACAAGTGTTACTTTGTTCCAAAACCAGGGAAAGACCCAACCAAAAAAGAGAACTATAGGCCAATCTCCCTAATGACCATAGATTCAAAAATCCACAATAAGATACCGGCAAACAGAATACAGAGGGCCATCAAAAAGATATACTGTATACTTAAAATGTACCAATAAACTCAATGAGAAAAAAAAAGTTCATACACCCTGACCAAGTTGAATTTATCCCAGGGATTCAAGGGTGGTTCAGCATACATAAATTAATAAATATAATACACGGTATTAACAGAGTCAAGGACTAAAACCATATGATCATCTCAAAAGATGCAGAAACACCATTTGAAAAAATTCAACACTGATTGATGATAACAAACCTGCAGAAAATTGGAATAGATGGTCTTTGTTTTGTTTTTTTTTTCCTCATTGAGTTTATTGATACATTTTAGGTATACAGTACAGTTACATTCATTATTGGGATCTTGTACCTTTACTTGACAGGTCTTGGTTCTCATTTTTCCCCTTGTCCCTGCCCTCCCTTCACCCCCTCCTCCCCTCCCCATTTGCAGACATTTTTGGAATAGATGGTCTTTATCGCAACTTGTTAAAGGTTATCTAGGACAAACCAACAGTCAACGGCCTACTAAATGGTCAAAAACTGAAAACCTTCTTGCTAAAATCAGTAACAACACAAGGATGTCAACTATCACCACTGCTGTTCAATATAGTTTTGGAAACTCTAGCCACAACAATTAGACAAGAAAAAGAAATAAAAGAAATAAAGATAGGAAAGGAAGGAGTTAAAGTGTCATTATTTGCTGATGATATCATACTCTACATAGAAGATCCAAAAAGACAATACCAAAAGACTTCCAGACTTAATTGACAGACTCAGCAGAGTAGCTGGATACAAGGTCAACACTCAAAAATAAATAGCCTTCTTGTACACAAATAACAGACTCACTCCCTAAGAGAGAAATTAGGGAAACAATCCCTTTCACAATGGCATTCAATAAAATGAAATATCAAGGAATAAATCTAACGAAGGAAGCAAAAGAGCTCTACACTGATAATTGCAACATAGTGAAAAAAGAGATTGAAAAGGATAGAAGAAAATGGAAAGACCTCCCTTGTTCCTGGGTAGGAAGAGCAAATATAGTAAAAATGGCCATACTTCCAATACTGCTATACAGGTTCAGTGTAATCCGAATTGAAATCCCAACACTATATTTCACAGAGCTAGAGAAAACAATCCAAACATTAATTTGACACCAGAAGAAATCTAGAATAGCAAAAAGCATTCTAGACAACAGAGACATGGCAGATAGTATCACAATCCCCAACATGAAACTATACTACAAAGCCACTGTGATAAAAACAGCATGGTACTGGCAAAGAAACAGACCTGAGAATCAGTGGAATAGATCAGAAGATGCAGAAACAACTCCAGATATACTCAGCTACCTCAACTTTGAAAAAGGAACAACCATCCCCAGTGGAGGAAAGATAGCCTTTTCAATAAATGGTGTTGGAAAAACTGGCTATCAACTTGCCAAAGATTAAAACTACAGCCCTATCTTTCACCATGCACTAAACTAAAATCCAAGTGGATTAAAGATCTAAATATTAAAACAAAATCACTAAACTTGCTGGAAGATAAGTTAGGTAGAGCTGTCAAAGTCATTTGCATAGTAAAAGCCTTTATAAAATCCTCAGTAGCACAGGACATAGCACAAACAATCAACAACTGGGATCTCTTCGTTTTTGAAAGCTTCTGCACTGCAAGAAAAAGCACCAACAGAACTAAGAGACAACATCAAATGTGGGGAAAAAATTTTACCAGCTGTTCCTCAGACAAAGATCCACTATCTAGAATATATAAAGAAATAAAAATAATAAGACCCCCCCAAAATATAAAGACCTGATTCAAAAATGGGTATCTGAAATGAACAGATATTTCTCAGAAAAACAAATAAAAGTAGCAAATAAACATGAAGAAATGTTCACCATAACTGGTCATTTGAGAGATGCAAATGAAAATAACACTAATATTCCACCTCACCCCAGAAAGAATGGCTGCTATCAAGAAATCAAACAGTAGCAAATGCTGGCAGGGTTGTAGGCAAAAAGAAACCCTTCTTCATTATTGGTGAGAGTGCAGATTAGTGCAACCACTGTGGAAATCAATATGGAGATACCTCAAAACACTAGGATTAGAAGTTCCATTTGATCCAGCTATTCCCCTGCTGGGTATCTTCCCAAAAGAATTAAAATTATCATACCATAGTAATACATGCTCAACCATTTTTATATAGGCACAGTTGGTAATAGGTAAAATAGCCCAATTGCCCATCAACTGGTGACTAGATAAAGATGTGGTATTTTTAAAAAATGAAGTACTACTCAGCCATAAGGAATGAGAAACTAGAGACACCTATAGCTAAGTGGATGCACATTCAGGACATAATCTTAAGTGAAATGAATAGGACACATTGAATAGCTTCTCTGGTATGAAAAAGTAAAAGTGTAAATGAGGATCAACATGTATAATTGATATTGTGTATGAGGAAGATAAGATCTAAAGGTGTAGGTACAGTTGTAGGGGTATGGGAAAAATAAGAAGGGAAAAGAAAAACTACGAGAATAGGGAAAAATGGAAACAAAGTCTCTCTAAATAGGGAAGGGTGGAGGGTGTGAAGCAAGGGCAGGGGAATGGGGAAAAAATAAGAACCAAGATATGTCATATAAAGATACAAGATCCCAATGATGGATATAACTATATTGTATACCTAAAATGTGCCAATAACAATGAGAAAAAAGAAATAATTTAAATATTTTTCCATGCAGTGGTCAGAAAATACCTTATGAGTTGAAATATGGTATATAAATTATATTCAATATGCAGAATTTCTGTTACAAATGAACACTTCAGACAGAAAGTAGATATATGTTGCTTATTTTATAAAAATTACATGATGATGCCAAATATAAACTTAAAATCTCAGAAAGTTAAGCTCATGTAGCAAGCTTATAATCTCATGTTGTGAAATTACAATGCAATCTAATTCTTATGTTTATCATTTTGATTCTCTAAAACTTACAATTTCCTTAGAATTACTCTTTTGCAGTGAGTTGCTCTTGACAGCTATAAGTGAAGTGAAGAAAAAGACTGAAGACTTGCAGTATACGGAACAAAAGCACATTATAGTTCAGGGAATAATTACTGTTAAGGAATATATTCCCCATAGCTGTGCAACTGAAAGTGCCTCAGCATCAGAAACACTTCAAGTATGGTGCCAGAGAACTAATAGTATATCTCAAAAAATACTGTGATAATAATTGCAATTGATACATTATGTATTGACTCTTAGTTATGATTCCTAGTGATGTAAGCCTAAGAGAGAAATTTTTACTTATTTGTTTGTTTCCTTTTTCTGTCACAGATTTTTGTGGCAGGGAGGACTAATGGTCATACCCTCTGACATTTCCAAAAGCCTTCAATATTAGTTTTTGCTTTCTTCATAATTAAAGCCATCATGAATGGATTAAACTTCTAGGAGGTACTTATGACTAAATTGTTTTCCTAACTTTTTTCCAGGCCAAAACTAATGGAAAGTTTCTGTGGAAAACTTTTACCTGTGTATCTGTCATGGTAGTCTTACTCAAGTTTAATAAAAGATAGACAAAGGTAAGATAAATGGTCTAGGAGAAACCAATTCTGGGACAATCAAGACAGGTTCATTTTTCCTGTGAGTTTATCTTTTTAAAAACTATGTCTAGGATTATTACTATTTATATGTAAATAGGCATTTAATCTAAAACTTTCAAGTTCTACTCCTATAAGACATGTTTTTCTTTAAATTATATCAGATGGATGATATTTAATCCACTTTATAAAAGCACTGCCATGATTTCAAAGCTTTGCCCAACTCAAGATTATGAAAAAATGGGTAAATTAAAATTATATTATACTTTATGAGATATTATTTTTGTGAATTAGTTTTTAAATTATTTCTCTAAATTGTTGGTTTTTAATCAACCCTCCACATTTCAAGCAGCTAGAAGAAAAGGTCATAGAGAAGAGAGAGTTGCATCAAGACGACAGACCTGCAAGTTCTCACTTTCATTAAGTAAGTATATGCAAGCAAAATTTTTCCTTCAGTTTATCTCATCACTGTAAAATAAACTATTATTATAGCAGCTGTATTAGTTTTCTAGAGTTGCAATACAAAGTACTGCAACTAAGGAGCCCAAACACAGAAATTCATTGTCTCATAGTTCTAGAGGCTGGAGACCAAGATCAAGATGTTGACAGGGTTGCTTTCTTCCAAGGGCTATAAGGAAGAATCTGTTTCATATTTTACCCCCTAGATTCTACTAGTTTTCTGGTAATCTTTGACATTTCTTACCATGTAGAACTATCATAACAAACTCTTTTTTGTTGTTGTTTTTTGGTACTAGGGATTGAACTCAGGACCTTGCACTTGCGAGGGAGGTGGCAGAACCATTGAGCTAAATCCTCAGCCCCTCTTTCTTTTTTTTAAACCAGGATCTCTATATAATATAGGCTGGCCTTGAACTCACTGTGTAGCCTAGGCTGGCCTCAAATTCTCAGTGTTCCTCATGTCTCAGCATCCCCCCCCCCAAGTGCTAGGGTAACAGGCATGCTCCATCACGCCTGGCTTCATATAAATCTCTGTCTTCATGTTTACATGGGGTTCTTCCTGTGCACATGTATATGTTCAAACATCCCCTTTTCATAAGGACATCAGTCATATTGGATTGGAGCACACCCTATTCCAATATGAGTTCCTTTTAACCAATCACATATGCAATGACCTTGTTTCCAAATAAAGTCATATTCTGTGGTAGGGAGGGTTAGGACCTCATCATATAGATTTGGGAAAGACAAAATTTAGTTCTCAACATTCTGCTTGCTGTCCCTCCCAAAAAATTAATGTCCTTTTCACAAGCAAAATACAATCATTCCATCACAATAACCTCAAAATTATTAACTCATATCAGTACCAACTCTAGTCCATAATCATAGCTAAATATCATCTATCTCAGTCACTTTCTTATTTTTGGGATACAATACCAGACACCTGCAAATTAAAGAAAGGGGAGGTTTATTTTGGCTCACATTTCAGTAGACTTAGTCCTTGCATGATTGACTGACTCGAAGTTGTGGAATAGGGGCATGACAGACAGAAAGTAGAGAGAGATCAAAGGTGGAGTGGGGGAGAGAGAAAGTAGAAAGAGACCAAAGGTGGAGTGGGGGAGGGAGATATAAATTTCTAGGCCACACCCCTAGTGACCCACCTCTTTAGACACACCTCCACTTTCAAACATCATAGTTGGCTATAAATTAATAAGTAGACTAATCCACAGATGATTATCATGCATCCATGAGCCAATTACCTCCCAAAAGCCCCACTTATGAGCACATGAGGCTTTGGGGGAACATCTAGATATAACATCATCTAAATCACATATGGATGAGACTCAGGATAATTCACCTGAGGCAAGATTCTTCAACTGTAAACCTGAGAAAATGGAAAAAAATGTGTAAAATACAATATCAGGACAGTCATAGTATATATATTCTCATTCTGAGAGAAATCAGAAGGACAAAGGTAATGGGTCATGGCTTTTTTAAAAGCAACCCCAAAACCTAACAAAGAAAATTCCATTGGATTTTTGAAGCTGCAGAATTTTCTTCCAGCCTATGCTGTTTCTTTCAGGCCTACCAAGGTAGCCCCACTCCCTTAGCCCTTCATGACAGCACTACACTTTGAAACCAAGGAGGTAGTCCCAAGCTCTGGAATTAAGAATATGGCCCTGCCCTCTTGAGCCAAGAAGATGGCCCCACCCTCAGGGGGTACCTTTCCTTTTCTCAATAGTTTTCCGTATCTTTACATTCTGCTTCCTTTTTGCTTAACAAGTCTTCATGTAATTGATCTCTCCTTTTCTGTTGTACTATAAAAAATAAGGAGAAACCAGGCCACACTTTCTAAACTTTGCTTAGAAATCTCAGCTAAATATCAAGGTTTATAATATAGAAGTTAGTTTTCCATCCAAACTGAATGCAATTTGACTAAACTCTCTGCCACTGGAGAAGGACTACTTTTCCAATGATCTTTTCCTTATTTCTGTCTGCAACTTCACCAGAAACACCTTTTGCATTCGTATTTCTAGCTGTAATCTGTTCAGGATGATATATTGTATTGTCTAAGATGATGGAAGCTATCTCTATGGTTCTCTTATTCTGTACCTTTATGAAATTCTTCTTTAAAGTTTTTATTTCTAACAACAGTCTCTTCAAGGCAATTTAGGCCTTTTCCTTCCAATTTTTTCAGCTTCTACTCAGTATCCAATTTCAAAGCCACTTCCATATATTTAGATATTTGGGGTTTTTTTCCAGCTTTAATTGGGTTTATTGGTACATTTTAGGGATACAGTACAGTTACATTCATTGTTGGGATCTTGTACCTCTACATGACAAGTCTTGATTTAGATATTTGTTACAACAGCATCCCACTGCCTGGTACCAAAATATGTATTAGTTTGCTAGGGTTGCAGTTGGGTGGACAATAAATTGGGTGGTTTGAACAACAGAGTTGGGTGGCTTTAGCAATAGAAATTTATCATCTTAGAACTCTGTAAGCCAAAAGCCACAAACCAATGTGTTAGTAGGGTTATTTTCTACTGAGGGCTGCAAGAAGACTGTGTTGGTGGTTTTTTGGCAATCTTTGGTGTTTCTTGGTTTACAGAAGCATCACCCAGTCTCTGCCTCTGTCTTCACATGGAATTCTCCATTAGGTGCACATCTGTATACAAATGTCCACTCTTCATAGGGACATCAGTACTGTGGGATTGGGGACAACCCTACTCCAATATGATCTCATCTTAACTAATTACATATACAATAACCCTATATCCAAAAGATAAGAATTCAACATATGAATCGGGGGATCACAATTTATCTCAATATAAACCTTCTTCCATTTTCAGTGGGGAGTAATTAATAATGAGTTTAAAATGAGGAATCATTTTAAAATAAACATATTTTACTTCATTTAGCATTTTATTTTAACTTGAAATATAGCTTGATTTACCACTTGTTTAAGGATAGGTCTTCACTGCATAAAACACATCCATTATAAATTTTTTAAAGATTAGTAGTTTTTTTTTTAATGACTAAAAAGCCAAGAAATCAGAGAGATATCAGAGTGAAGAAACATTCTTGATTTTAAGATTTTTTCATGCTATCTCTGCTCAAGTCTTCAGTAGGTTTTAGTTAAAAATAAGTGAATTTTTTCAAGGTTTCTATATTAAGCAACTTATATCTAGCCACCTTGATAAATTCACTTATTAATTCTAAAAGTCTGTAGGGTTATTTTGGATTTTCTCTGATTTTTAAATTTTCATATAATCTACAAATAATGGTAGTTTATTTCTTCCTTTCCAGTAATTTTGTCATTTATTATTTTTCTTGTGTTATTGCACTGATTAGGAGCTCTAGTGTAATGTTAAACAGAAATTGGTGATACAGAGCATCTTTGTCTTATTTCTGATCTCAGGAGAAAATTTCTGAAGATTTTTAATATTTAGAAATTTGGTGAATCATTTTTATTAGTTCAAGTAAATTTTTTTCTAATTCTAGTTTGACAAAGTTTTCTCATAAACCCAAGATGAATTTTACCACATCCCCATACTGAGTCTATTGCTCTATAAATTTTTACCTTGTGTTCTTTTCACATAGTTAATTAAATTGGTTAATTTTTCGATGCTAAATCATCAACACATTTATATAATTACTTTTAATTGCTTATATTTTATTGCATCTGTTATATATCCATGGGTTTGATTTTGAAATATTTTGCAATATGTTTTCATCCATGTCCATGAGTATTTATCTGTAAATTTCTATCTCTTATAAAGTATTTCTCAGACTTATAAATCAAACTTATGGTGGCCTTGTTTAAAAAATGATGAAATATTCCTTCTTTTATTCTCTGAGAGATAATGTGTAAGAGTGGTGTTATTTCTTCCTTAAATATTTTGGACAGAGTTTCTAGTAAAGCCATCAAAGTCTGGGGTTTACTTTTGGGAAAGTTATTAAACAAGGGTTTTGATTTCTCTAGTAGATTTTAGAATATTCACATTTCTATTTTTCCTTTGCCATTATTATTATTATTATTATTATTATTATTATTATTATTATTATTATTATTATTATTTTGTACTGGCAATCGAACTCAGGTCCTTGTGCTTGCAAGGCAGTTGCCAGAACCACTGAGCTAAATCCCCAGCCCTGCCATTATTATTTTCAAAAAGAATTTGATGTTCACATTTAAATTGTAGTAATTACTGGTATGGAACTGCTCATAGCATCTTTTTATTGGTTTTCTTTTTGTAAAATCTATAATGATATTCCATTTTCAATTCTTGATATTCTTCATTTGTTTACAATGTGATTATTCTTTGACTCTATTATTTCCGCTCTTTCTGTGATTCTAATTGCATACAGGTGTAGTCAAAAAGTGTGGTCAATATTTAATTTTTTAAATTATTACAATTAAAGACACATTGCCATTAATCCTTCCCAAAATATTACCCCTCACTTCATAATACTTATTCCATCGTTCTTGCTACTTTCTGAAGCATCCCTGGAAAGCCCTCTTTCTTGAGTGTCTTTAGTTGTGTTGTTGTGGTTGCCTTGATGCCCTGAATCAATTTGAAATGTTTACATTTCATGATCATTGACTTTGAGGATGAACCAGAAGTCAAACAGTACCAGATCTAGTAACTAGGTGGCACGAACATGCAACATAATGTTTTTATAAGCCCTTCTTTCTGTTTGCTGGCACTCAGCAGCAGCATTCACCCTATTTTTACTACAACTCATAAAGGCACCTATGAAAGAGGACTTTCAAAACTTTTTCAGAAAGTGGCAAGAATGATAGATAAAGTGTATTTGAAGCAAGGGAAAGTATTTTGAGGGGTATTAATGGCAATTTTTATACATGTAATTTATTTCAATAGCACTACATAGATGTTTCATAAGCAAATACACTTTCTTCATATATGTGTGTGCATGTGTGTGTGTGTGTGTATACATATATTATTTGATTATGTGCTTCAGTTTGGATTTTTTTTCTTTTACTTTATCTCTTCATTTACTCTTTTATAATGGTAAATCTGATATTAAAGCTATCAGTTGACTTCATTGAGTCCTTGTTCTATTTCCATTTAAATCAAGTACATAGCAATCAATTCTGACACTAACTACTTAAAGTTAACACCAAACTGCACAAGATTAATGGCTCAGTCCTCCACAAAACTTTTCTTACTTCAGGTATGGGAAGTCACACTTCAGGGGGTCCTCAAGCCAACTGTGTTTCTAATCAAGTGGATACAAGTTCAGAAGTTCCTCTGACCTCCTCAGATTTTTTAATGTGCTACAATAATGCATGGAGCTCAGGAAAGCACTAAACTTACATTGTTTTTATTATTAAGAATAGATCAGGAAGAGCCAAATGAAGAAAAACATAGAGCAAGGGATGTGAAGGAATGCAGAGCTTCTGTGCACTTCATAGGATAGTGGCATGTTATTCTACTGGCACATCAATAAGTTCACCTACCATAGAGATATTTCTATTTCATTTTGTTTGTATTTCATTATGTAAATATGGTTCCACTGAGTCATTGACCATATGACTGAAGTAAATATTCAGTTCTTCTTCCCTCCCTGGAAGTCAAGTTAGTTCTGTGGTTTGTTTGTTCTCTTTGGTAAGAAGCCCTATCCTGAAACTATCTAGAAGCTACCACAGTAGCCCCATTATCATAATAAAGGCAATTCTTCCACTCAGAAATTTCCAAGGATATTTAAGACTTTATACCTGGAATGATGAACAAGTTTTAAATATATCCTTTGCTATACCATAGCTCTTAAATTCAGTTATTCTGTTTTTCAGTTCTAGGAAACCCACTTTCTTCTTCTTCTCAATGTTCACTGTATCTATTTTGCTGATCTTTTCTTTCTTCTAAAACATATGAACTATTGCATTTTAAGTCATGACCTGTTAATTCCAATGTGCAGATTACATGCTTTTACAATAGCAGTAAACACGACTACTTAGGACTTTATAATAACCAACATTTTAATTCAAATGATAGCTAGTCAACTTAAGGGATATCAAATACCCTCTATTATATTTCAAACTGTAGTCAAAACCCAGTAAGATATAATAATGGAAAGTTAAAACCTCTATACTTCATTCTATTCAATATATTTACTAAAGTTAACCATACCAAGGTTACATGACACCTTAAAAATTATTTCCAGCATCTCATCTGAGTAAAAGCGAAAAACACCATAACAATAGCTTTTAAATAATGATTTATGCCTGGCCAGCATTTGCTATTTTGACTTATTGATCACAAAAGTCTTTATTTAACATTTTTATTATCATAAATTATATCTAATTTGCCTATATTATCAATTTTACAAAAAGAAAACTTTATATGTTTCTTGTCTTCTGTGAAGTATCTTCCTTCAATTTACTGTAAAGACTATTTGACTATACAAACCAAGATCACTTACATCACCTCATTTAGTCCTTAGCTTCCCAAAGGGAAAACAGAATATTTATCCCCATTGAATAGATGAGGAATCTTAGGTTCAAAAAAGAAAAAATAGGGTTTATACCTATATGTGTATTAATATCTTTGCATAATTGTTGCTCTACTGTGAAAAACTAAAAATCAAAATATATAATTGATAATGTGAAATAGGAAGATAAGGTATAAAGGAGTATGGGAATCGGGAGGGGTAGGGGAAAGGAAACAAGGGAAAATAAAAACTATGAGAAAAAGAAAAAATGGAAGCAAAGAATTTGTAAATAGGGAAGGGTGGAAGTAGTGAAGGTAGGGCAGAGAAATAGGGAAAAATTAAGAATGAAGATACCTCATGTAAAGGTACAAGATCCTGGGCTGGGGATTTGTCTCAGTGGTTCTGCTGTGTACCTCACAAGTGCAAGGGCCCGAGCTCAATCCCAGGTACCAAAAAAAAAAAAAAAGTACAAGATCCTAATGATGAATGTAACTGTATTGTATACCAAAAATGTAACAATAAACTTAATTTAAAAAGATACTTTGTAAGACTATAATAATATTAATTATTGTTATATAGAATGAGGAAATGGCATACCATAGAATCTATATATGGCTTTTGTCTAAAGTCAATAAATTGTTTATAAGGACAAAATTACAGTACAATTTATAGTCCTTGGCATAATTTTTACAATATGGTCCCACCATATTCGTTTTTATATTTTCTATTAGCCCTCATTGCCCCATACCCTGTTATCCTTCCATTCTTCTTTTTATTTTGTCTCTTTTCCCAATTTTGTCAATTGATACCCATAGAAATTGTATTGCACCATTTCTGTCATTTAACCTTTCACCTTGAAGACATTTAAGTCATCCAAATGAATGATTATATTTTCCAGAGAATCTTTTAAACCATTTTTTAAAAAAGAAAAGATCCTAGGGCCAGGGATTTAGCTCAGTGGTTCCACCACCTTCCTCACAAGTGCAAGGTCCTGAGTTCAATCCCTGGTACAAAAAAAAAGTAAAGATCCTATAATGGTGATGTTAGGATTTCAAAAACTCTATTCTCATTTATTTCAGATGAAATAACTATAAGGAGGGACTGCCTGCATGTGTGCTGGCACTGCAGGGACCACCCCCATTTATGCCATCACCAGTGGGACTGCGCACGAGCACAATGGCCAAATCCAGATAATGAGAAAAGAGCAGAAAAACCATCATTTGGAGCTCAGGGAGATGATGTAATGGTGAGCAGCAGAGAGAGGACTTCTCCAAAGCATGTTCTTGAAAACTGTAGTTCACCAAGAAAGCCAAGTCAGGGTAATAAAGATACAGCAGACTATAGGAATTGGTGAGTGGTTTGAATCAGCACCTTCTACCAGAACCCACACTTGCTGTGGGGGAGGGATGGCTCAAACCTGCAGCAGAACAGTGCAGAGTTCAAACCTACAGAAGTCAGGAACCTCAATTCCAGCCTCAAAGCCAGAAACCAGCCTGAATCTCATGAACTATGGCTGGCTTGCTAATTTTAAGAAAGTCAGATCTTCACACTACTGCCTACATTGTCTACTGACAACAGTAGAGACACACCTTAAAGGGAACTTTTTCTTTGTCTTTCCTTTTCTTATTTCTTCTTCATTTCTCTCAATTCTTGCTCCTGTTTTCTGTTTTTTTTTTTATTGTTCTGATTTCTATAAGAGCATGAATACAGTTTCTAGTTTTCATGTTGCTGTTAGTTTTTGTTCCTTCCTTATCTCTTTCCCTCCTGTCTTCACCAGTTTTCCCAAGTATACATGATCTTCCTGTGTCCTTTAGCCCTACTTTTAACCTTTTCCTGTCCTTCTATTTCTCTGTCTCCCTGCTCCCAACTCCTTCTAAGTCTTCATCCCAGAGGGTAAATTCGCTATACTGGAGGGCTTGTTTACTGCAAACATTTCTGTTTGGTCCTTAATTTTGATATATAACTACAAGTCTAATTCATGCAGTTAAAGATGACAGATTAATAGTTACCACAATTTCTCATATTCTAATCTGAGTTTGATGCTATTGTTGATGCTGCTTATATTACTTTGGCCAAAGTGACATGATTGTTCTTGTCAGCTGTCCTTTCTGGTATAAAAGTAAACCGAGATTGCCTAAAGATCCTTATAGACTCAAAACCCAGGACCACTTATACCTCGAAGACACCTCTGAGAAGTAGTCATTCCCTAAGGGTTATAAATACTAACAATAAAGATATACACAATAATCAATATACAGTATCAACCCAGAAATCAAATCAAAAATACCAACAAAAAAATTAAAATTAAAAGACACCTAAATAAGATGCAAACCCAGATGTCCAGCTCACCAAAGGCAAATCCATGGGGCAATAAAGTAGAACAATCTGAAAGTCAACCACCTGCAGTTCCTAAACAGGTAAGAAGAAAAGTAACAGAACAGATAAATGAGGCTCTAGAAAAAAACAAATCAACAATAATTTCCCAAATAACTACAGAGATAATGACCAGAATGAAAGACATGCTTAGTGACTCTAGAACAGATACAGATAAGAAAATAGAGGAGCTCACGAACATGTTGGAAACCATGAACACCAAGCATAGGAAAGAAATGAAATCCATGAAACAGATTCAAACATATATACAGGATATTAAAAACTCAATTGAGAGTATATGCAGCAGAATGAGCCAAAGTGAGGACAGAATATCAGATATAGAAGACAGAATTGTGGTAAATGATCACAAAAAGAGAAATTTCTTAAAAGTAATGAGGAAACACAAAAAAATCAATGCAACAGCTGCTAGATGATGCAAAGAAGAATAACATAAGTCTGACTAGAGTCAATGAAAAAGCAGACTATAGCACAAATGACATACACCTTTTCACAGAAGTAATGAAAACTTTCCAAACAGGGGGAAAGAATTTGACATCCAGATAAGTGAGGCATATAGAATTCCAACTACCCATGGCAACACGTGCAAAAAAAAATCTATACCTAGGCATATAATAATCAAGATTCGAGAAATTCAACAGATGAACAAGATATTAAAAGCAGTTCAAGAAAAGAAAGATACCACATAAAAGGAAAGCTCATTAGAATCATAGAAGATGTTTCAACACAAACCCCAAGCCAAGGAGAGTCTGGAGTGAAGTATTTCAAGCCCTAAGACAAAATAACCACCAACCCAGAATGATGTATCCTGCAAAACTGTCATTCAAAATTGATGGTGAAATGAGATGCTTTCACAACAAAGAAATACCAAAGGAACTTCATGAATAGCAAGGCAGCACTTCAAACAATTCTAAATAATATCCTAGAAAAAAACAATGAGGACTACAACTCCATGAACCACTTAAAAAGGAAGTCATTAGGAAAGCCAGGAAATTAAAGAGAAAGGGGGGAAAAGGCAAAATTAAAAGAGCCAACAACAGGAAAGTAGCATGACAGTGATAAGTCAATACATATCAGCTATGACTATCAATGTTCATGGTCTCAGTTCAGCAAAAAATAAAAAATAAACTGGCAGAATATATCAAGAAACAAGACCCAACAATATTCTGCTTACAAGAAACAGACCTAATTAAAAAAGAAATTCATAAACTAAAAGTCAAAGGATGGAAAATAATACTCCATGCAACAGGAACCCAGACAAAGGCAGGGGTAGCTATCCTACTTGTAGACAATATGGATTTCAAACTAAAACTAAGAGAGACAATGAAGTTCACTACATCCTTGTAAAGGGAGAAACCCAATAGAAAGAGATGACAATAATAAATATATATGCAACAAATGCTAGTGCACCCAACTATATAAAACAAATATTAATGGGCATAAAAAATCAAATAAACACAAATACAATAGTAGTGGGGAACCTCAATACCCCACTGCCAGAAAGAGACAGATCAAACAGATAAAAAAATCAACAATGAAATACTAAAACTGAATCAAACTTTTGAACAACTGGATTTAGTATCTACAGAGTGTTCCACCCCACAAAATCAGAATACATACTCTTCTCAGCTGCATGTGGGTCATTTCTGAAAATAGAACACATGCTACCTCATAGAACTTGCTTTAGTAAATGCAAAGAAATTGAAGTTATCCACAGTATATTGTCAGACCATAGTGCAATGAAATTGGAGATCAATAGCAAATGAAACTGAAAGAACTTAAACTCTTGGAAATTGACTGAGACCCTCCTGAACAACCAATTGGTAAGAGAAGAAATTAGTTTCTACAATTAAATGATAATGCCTATAAAGCATACTGGAATATATGGGACTCAATGAAAGCAGTCTTATGAAGGAAATCCATAGCAGTAAATGCCCATATTAGGAAAACAGAGCTCAAATAACCTAATGGTGAACCTCAGGCTTCTAGAAAAAAAAGAGCAAAACAAATCCAAAACTCTCACAAGAGAGGAAATTATAAAGATCAGAGTAGAAATCAATGCAATGGAGATTAAGTGAAAGATACAACACAACAACAAATAAAAGAGTTGGTTCTTTGAAAGAATAAATAAAATTGACAAACCCCTATCCAACCTAATAAAAAGAAATGGAATAAAACTCCCAAAACCATGCAATTAGGAATGAAAGGGGTTAAATTACAAGATCCAGCAGAAATCCACAGTATCATCAATACCTACTTTGAGAACCTGTAAGATGGAAAAGACAGAAGAAATGGACAGATTCCTAGATACATATGAACCAAGAAGATATAAAAATTCTAAATAATCCAATATCAATCAGTGAAATTGAAGTTATAATTAAAAACTTACCATCAAAGAAAAGCCCAGGTCCTGATGGCTTCACTGCTGAATTCTACAAGAAATGTAAAGACGAGCCAATGTCACTAGTTCTCAAACTCTTTGACGAAATTAAAAGGAAAACAGTACTCCCAAGTTCACTCATGGAAGCAAGCATTACTTTGAATTTTTTTTGGGGGGGTACTGGGGATCAAACTCGGGTCCTTGATCTTGCAAGGCAGGGGCCAGAACCACTGAGCTAAATCACCAGACCATAACTTTGATTCTAAAAACAGAAAAAGACCTGACCAAAAATAAAAACTACCAGACAATCCCTAATGAATCTGTATGCAAAAATCCTCCATAAGATACTGACAAACAGAACACAAAAGATCATCAAGATCATATACCCTGACCAAGTGGGATTCATCCCAAGGGTGCAAGGATGATTCAACATATATAAATCAATAAATGTAATCCACTATATTAACAGAGTTAAGGACTAAAACCATATGATGATCTCAATAGATGCAGTGAAAGCACTTACAAAGTCCAACACCCATTCATGATAAAAACCCCACAGAACATTGGAATAGATTATTTTTATCACAACCTGATAAAAGCCATCTATGAAAAACCAACAGCAAATACACTAAATGGTGAAAAACTGAAACTTTTCAGGCTAAAATCAGGAACAAGACAAGGATGTCCACTGTCACCACTTCTGTTCAATATAGCTCTGGAAACATGAGCCACAGCAATTAGACAAGAGAAAGAAATAAAAAGAATAAAGATACAAAATGAAGTTAAATTATCATTATTTGCAGATGACATGATACTCTATATAGAAGACCCCAAAAACTTCACCAAAAGACTTCTATATTTAATAACCAAATTCATTAGAGTAGCTGGATACAATGCCAACACTCAAAAATCACTTGCCTTTCTGAACATGAATAACATACTTATTGAGAAAGGAATTGGGGAAACAACTCCTTCACAAAATTATTTTTTAAAAAATGAAATACCTAAGAATCAATCTAATGAAGGAAGTAAAAGACCTCTACTTTGAAAACTACCACACTCTGAAAAAAAGAGATTGAAGTGGATATTACAAAATGGGAAGACATACTTTGTTCTTGGGTAGGAAAAATGAATATAGTAAAAATATCCTTACTTCTAGAACTGCTACATAGATTCAATGCAATTCTGATTGGAATTCCAACAGCATATTTCATGCTACTAAAGAAAACATCAAACAAATTCATTTTGAACCAGAAGAAACCTAGAGTAGCAAAAACAATTCTAGGCAAAAAAGACAAGGCAGTGGGTGTCACACTCCCCAACTTGAAACTATACTACAAAGCTACTGTCATAAAAACAGCATGGTACTGACAAAGAAACAGATCCGAGATTCAATGGAACTGATTAGAAGATGCAGAAACAACTCCCGGCATCCTGAGCAACCTCATGATTGACAAAGAAGCCAAACATCCTCACTGGAGGAAAGATAGCCTCTTTAATAAATGGTGCTGGAAAAACTGGATTTCAACTTGCCAAAGATTAAAACTAGACTCATATCTCTCACCATACACTACACTATAATAAAAATGGAACATATATCTAAATGTTAAAACAGAAATCCTAAACCTGTTGGAAGATAGGTTAGGTAACTCTTGAAGACATTGGCATAAGAAAAACCAAAACCACAGTTGCATGTGAACTAGCACAAAGAATCACTCACTGGTATCTCATCCTATTTTAAAAGTTTTGCACAGCAAGAGAAACCACCAACAGAGTGAAGAGACAACCCACAATATGGGAAAAAAATTTACCAGCTCTTCCTCAGACAAAGGACTGCTATCTAGAACGTATAAAGAATTTTCTTTTAAATCAGACCTCCGACATTTAAAGACTCAATGAAAAAGGGGCATCTGAAATGAATAAACATTTTTCAGATGAAGAAGTAGAAGCAGTAAATAAACATATGAAAAATGTTTCACATCACTGGTTATTTGAGAGATGCAAATGTAATCAATGCTGAGATTCCAACTCACTCCAGAAAGAATGGCTGCTATCAAGAAATCAACCAATAACAAATGCTGGTGGGGCTGTGGGGAAAGAGGAACCCTTCCAACTGTTGCTG